TTGGTTCCAGAGAGAGAGGGAGAGAGGGAGAGAGGGAGAGAGGGGGGGGGGAGAGAGAGAGAGAGAGAGAGAGAGAGAGAGAGAGAGAGAGCGAGCTTGGAATCCCAATGCCTTTTATGATGAGCTTCAGAAGTTGTGCTGACACCTGCTTATTCCCTTCATTGGAATTGGGTCAGAGTCCTGCCTACACAAAAGAAGAGAGAAATTAGGTTCCACTTCTTGAAGGGAAAAGTGTCATGAAATTTGCGGGCATATTTTTTTAAATGTTTACTTAAAAATAATGTTTTAGTCTTTGTTTTTTGTGTTTTTTTCAAGTTCCAGCTTTATTGAGGCATAATTGACATAAAATCATAAGGCAGGCAAAGTGCACATCGGGTAACTTGATATACATATACGTTGTTAAGGGATCCCCCCACACACACATCCATCATCTCACACGTTTTAGTTACACAACAGAGTGTTATCAACTATAAGCACCATATTTTCCATTAGATCCTCAGGTTGTACTCACCTTACAGCTGAAATTAGATGACCAACATCTCCCCAATTCCCCCACCTCCAGCCCCTGGTTGTTTCCATGAGTCTGACTTTTTTACAGTCCACATATAAGTGGGTATGTTTTGTAAACCACCACAATTACGGAAGATAAACACGTAAGCAAGCGTAATTTCTAAGCCAAAGGGCAGGGACTTGTTGCACATTCTCCTCCAGGCCGACGTGCGGCCTGTTTCTTAGACCTCGGTGACCCTTGCTGACCAACAATAGATAACAGCCCCAATCTATTCCTCTTATCCATTTCCCTGGAAAGAAAAATTGTTGCATATCCCATGTGGGAATATTTTTCAAGGGTCTCTCCTAACAGATTGTTGTAAGGATTCATTGGGATAATAAATGTAGTGCCTGACCCCTAGAAAGTGCTCATTACATGGTAGCTGTTAATATCCTGTCACCAAGCCTTATTGACTCCACCTCTGAAGTCACAAGCATCCCATCTTATCTGCTATCCCACTTACCCTCGACTTCATCAGAGCCACCACAAAGGACCCTCGCTTCCCTCCTTGTCTCTGGCCTCCTCTACATCTACTTTGCTTTACAGAAGAGGTCTGCTTTTTCTTTCCATCTTAATTATAGCTGATGTTCTACAAAAGCTCCATTCATTTGCTGAGCCAATCTACTGAGTGCCCGATCCTCCTGAGACAGTGAAACTCCGAGCCAATTTGACGGAGGGTGCAGGGAGCGGTTAAGGCGAAAATAAAAAGGAGAGAGAAATAAAAATATTACCCAGCCATAATGAAAGAATGTTAATTGCTCTGGTATGGTTTGATGCAGACTGGAGAGAGGGCAACTAATGTTGAAAATAAGCTTCCCTCTCAACTTGAAGAAGATCCCCTCTTCTGATTTGCTGTAGCGCTGAGTCATTGCATCTTCGGCAATATTTCCATGTGTCATTGAGTTTGTGGCTCACAGTCGGGTTCTGAGTCTAGCAATGACATCTGCTTGTGCATTCCATCAATTAAATTGATGCTTTGCACAAAACTTCTTTCCCAGCAAGAATTTTTAAGACCTAGTTGGAACTCCTGGGTGATCTATTGTGTTTGTGTCAGGGGTAATATAGCTGCTCAAAGTGCATTCATTCCGACCATAAAACGTTGTGTAGGTGCTGAGAACCAAGAGCGCCAGTGTGTTTCTCTGTGTACAGCGCAGACACAAAGTCTGTTTAGTCAGTGAGATCAAACAGTGCTGGGCCTTCAAGGAACCCTCAGCCCCGTATCTCCAATCCCTTCCTCCTGGCCACCTATGGACAGTGTTTCTAAGGAGTTAATGATTAACAGCTGCCAATCCAAGCTTCCCCCAAACCATTCGTAAGGAATCCATAGGTCTTCCCTGAGTCACACCACGCTTTCTGTTCTGCTGTGTTTCAACCTTTATCTTTTCTTGACTTCATGGTTACCCACTTTTCAAATGCATGTCGCCAAGAGTTTCAGGTTCTTCTTCTCTGCCAAACAGAGGCCTTTCATCCTGTGGTTAGGAGGAGTCTCCAGAGCCACTGAATGGATGTCAACCGCTTTCATGCTATTCTCCAGCTATGATATTTTGGGCAATAGAACCTGTTTGTGTCTTGATTTCCTCATCTTAAAAATGGGGATAATAGTCACCATAATTTCACTTTAAAATCTAAGTAGTTAATATATGTGAAATATTTAACACAGTTCCTGGCACCCCAAATCCTGGCTAAGTGTTAGCGACTGTCATTATTTAAAGGAGGTGGCTCATGATGACTGCGGACTCTGGTCCACATCGGATGAATTTGTATTAAGTGGAAACTTATAAATGAACATTTTTACTGGGTACATCCACATTCATTTTGGCAAACTAAACTGTGGGGAAAACACTGGTCCAGAGAGAAGCTTTAAATGCAGTCACAAAAGAGGTGCTCCTCCGATTTAGCTACGTACGAGGGAAGTAAGGTCCTCTGCTGCGATGTGAAGTAGGTTTATAGAAAAGTAGCTCAGCCTCATCTGGGGCAATAATCTGAGCCAGAATAATCTGTACTCTAGCATCGGTTCTTCTGCAAACAGAGGATTCAACTGCTGCCATTTTGGACGGACAGTCTCTCTCGATTGGGCAGAATTTGTGCCAAGACGCCTTGCAGCTGCTTGGCCTCCCTATTGTATTGGCTTCTCCACTCTGTGCATTGTTGCCTCCCACTGTGCACCCTGCCCATTCAGCGACATGGGACTACAGTACTGGGACTGCATTCCCTCACCACAGCTCCTCAGCGTGAGCCTTCAGCTGATGTGAGGAAGGACTGGCTGGGAGAATTTTCCTTAAAATGTAACCTGATTGTGTGATAGGCAGGGAAGAATTAGCAGCCCTCTCTTCAGCCCATTGAGGATATTATATTATATGCCCTTGTACACCAGAAGCACAGTGTACAGCTCCAAAGACACCCAGCGCAAGCTAACCTAGTTCTTCTGCCTAGTAACAAAAAGTACACGCATTCTTTCCCCAAAGGTGTGCCCACCTGGAAGCCACACCTAGGGCCTGCATCTCGTCTGCAGAAATGAGGTTGCAGGACCACATCGAAGCCTGCTTGCTGGTTTGAGTCAACTGTATCCGAGTCAGGAGGTGTTCTGGTAGTTTGAGCTTATTTTTAGTCTAATTGTGTTGTGATCTCATCCAGATTACTCGCTTCAAACAAGGCATGACGCCATATATCACTTCTCTTTCGGTCCCGTGTGTCAACCACGACCATGCTACTTAGCAGTCATACTCTGAGTCCATATAAGGTGAAATCTAAGAGAGATTCAGATTTGGCACACTTTGGTGGCGATTTTAGGACTACAATAAAGATATCCTCAAAAGGAGAGGACTATAGCCCTGGCCAGTTTGGCTCAGCGGTTAGAGCGTCAGCCTGCGGTCCGGAGAGACTCGGGTTCAGTTCCCGCTAAGGGCACGTACTTCGGTTGCAGTTTGTCCCCGGCCCTGGTTGGTCGTGCGGGTGGCAGCCACTCGATGTGTCCCTTCACGTCGATGTTTCTCTCTCTCTCTCCCTTCCTCTCTCTCCCTCCCACTCTATCTGTACAAAAAATGGAAAAATATCCTCGGGTGAGGATAAAAAAAAAAAAAAAAAGAGAGAGGACTATACATTCTTGTCAACTATCTTATCTGACTTTGCTAAGATTAGAAGTGCTGTTTGTCCCTGTGCATCAAGGGCACTCTGGGAAGTCCAACGAGGCTGCTCAGAACTACTGACTTTAAACTACACAAAATCCACATACTTTGAAGAATGGCTATTGGTAATGCAAATTTCCAATAATGTCATTAGAGAATAACAGTGAGTCCTGTAGGTTTTCAAACCTGGTTTTAATGATTGTACACACAGGTAAGCCAGTTGGCACTTGATTTTATTTACTTGAATTGGAGCTAATGACCCTGGCAAACTGAAATGAACCTGGAAGTTCTCCTGAACTATGGTCTGGCCCCTATGGCGAAACTTCAAATATCTCTCTGTAAATATTACACATGATTTCAGCTCCCAGGGAAGGAACCGGAACCAAGGTGTCCAGAGAGGAGGCACGTGCGGACTTTGTGAGCGAGACTCAGCTTAGATCCAGTTACTAAGTTCTCTACAAAGAGGAGGGGTTTCTTTTTCCGATGCGAAGGCTGTTCGGGTTTCTAGAATAGCTGGTTCCTAAACACAGAACATAACCCTCCCTCTCTTTAAGATAAAGTCCCTCTTCGCCCTGGCTGGGTGGCTCAATTGGTTAGAGCATCATACAGTGAACCGAAACACTGAGGGTTCGATTCTGTTAGCACACATACCTAGGTTGTGGGTTTGATCCCCGGTCCGGGCGAGTACAGAAGACAATTGATTGATGTTTCTCTCTCACATTGATATTTCGCTCTTCTCTCTCTCTCTCTCTCTCATCAATGAACATATCTTTGGGTGAGGAGTAAAAAAAAAGATAAAGCTCTTCTTCAAAGCCACAACTCCTAAAGACATTCCTGAGGGTAAAGTAAGTTCAGCAGAAAAGAGACTGACTGGGATTGAGTTTCCCCAGGTAGGTTTTGCTGCTTTGGGCGAGTTCCTCACAGAGCCCACTTCTGGGCTTCCTTTATTCGTGCAAACACTGAGAAGTACCTTTCTCTGAGGAGGACCGGCCCTGACCCTCCTTCCTCGTACCCACATCTGGCTTCCAGGGCAGGACAGGGCTGTCTGTTTCCTCCTGCATCCCTGAAGCCCTGCACAGTGCCCAGCAATAATTCTACCATTTCCACTGATTAGAGTCCTCCTACCAAGGAACTCAACCCTTGATCAGCTCCCACTACCTTTTCTTATCCTTTTCCCAATTGGGTATGACCTCTGAGATGCAGAAGAAAGATACAGGAAACCGCACACCTGGATGCTAGCCTTCAGCTCCTTTTTACACAAGAGAGCAAGCAGAAATCAAAAGGATCCCCGCCGGTGACCCACTGCAGGGAGGGGCTACCGGGGGCTAGGTGGCAATCCCAAGCATGGGCTTGTCCACAGAGGAGGGTTCCCAGCAGTGAGGCTGCCCGTGTCTTCGCCTCCCCTGAGAGGTACTGACAGCGCCATCACTCGTGACAGGAGGGGGTGGCTCCTTTTTGCAGGTGCCGTGTTTGGCGCGGTGCCGCTGGAGGTGATTGGACCTGGTGAAGGCCTGGCCGCAGTCCTCACACTGGTAGGGCCTCTGCCCGTTGTGCACCCGAATGTGCTGGGCCAGCTCCGAGGCAACACGGAAGGCCCTGCCGCACTGGGCACAGAGGAAGCCCTTCTCCCCGGAGTGGATCTGCTGGTGCCGCTTCAGGGTGGAGGAGCGAGCGAAGGCCTGGCCGCACTGCGCGCAAAGAAAGGGCCTCTCGCCGGTGTGGATGCGCTGGTGGCGCACGAGGCGCGAGGGCTGCGCGAAGGCCACGCCGCAGTCGGCGCACTGGAAGGGCCGCCGGCCGGTGTGCAGCGTCTGGTGCTCCGTCAGGTTGGAGGACTTGGTGAAGCGCCTGCCGCAGGTGGCGCAGGGGAACGGCCGCTCGCCCGAGTGCACGCGCTGGTGCTCCATCATGCGGCTGGCCACCGCGAACTCGCGGCCGCAGGCGGGGCAGCGGAAGGGCTTCTCGCCCAGGTGCGTGCGCTGGTGGCGCAGCAGGGACAGCGGCTTGTTGAAGGTCTGGCCGCACTGGGCGCAAGGGAAGGGCTTGTCGTTGCTGTGCGTGCTGCGCTGGTGTTTGCGCAAGTCCGAGGAGCGCACGAAGGCCTTCCCGCAGTCCGGGCACGCGTAGGGCTTCTCACCTGTGTGGGTGCGGAGGTGCTTGCGGTGGTCTGAGGACCAGGTGTAGGACTTGTCGCAGAAGGGACACCGGTAGGGCCGCTCCCCCGTGTGCAGGCGCCGGTGCTGCTGGAGCGTGCCCCGGTGGGAGTAGGCCTTCCCGCACAGCTCGCAAGCGTAGGGCTTGGCGCCTCGCGTCTGCACGGGGCTCCCGGGGTTGCTGGGCTTCTGGAAGGCTTGGCTGCCCCGTAGGCTCTTGTAGGGACGCGTCTCCCCCTGCCCACCCCCACCGGCCGGTCTCTGGCCTTTCCGGCCACTCCTCGCTTTTGCCAGCCCCGCCACTGCCAAGCCGGCCGGTGGGGACGACCCCTGGGCTCCTGTGCATGTCTCCTGCAGGGGGAGGTTCCAACTACCTCCTGGCTTGGGGACACACGCTGGGAAGGAATTGTCTGGGGACATGTCTACACCTCTTTGTGCACAGAAATATCTTCCGGAACCAAGGAGGCTGGATGGGACACCCAAGGTGGCCAGGTTTGCCCTCGAGTCTCCATCATCGCCTGCAGATAATGAGTCCCTATGCGGCTGTTTCCTACCAAACCACCTGTGTGAAAGGCCACTGAAGAGGGCCCTGTGAGCCCCGCACGCTCTGGGGGCGTCCTGGGCCTGCGTGGTCTTTGACTCACCTCTTTCTCCGCAGGACTTCCTAGCCATCGCCACTGATTTTTTCCCCACAACTCCAGCACTAGAGTCAGAGAATTTCTCTTCCTCCCCCCGGCATGGCTGCTGCCGTGGCAAGTCAGTACTGTCCCGGGCCACTTGTGAGCTGCCCCTTGGGCAGGCGGGGTGATCTGGGTCACCGGTGCCTGCTTCCTCTCGTGCCTCCCTCGCATCCTCATCTTCACTCTCTAAGTTCATGCTCAGCTTCCCCAGCTGATGAGGCTCCTCATTCAAGCTGCAGGTAGGAGACTCTTGGCCCCACCTGTCCTGGAGGTCCACCTCTGCCATGGGGTCCGACACCTCTTCCTCCTCCTAGCAAAGCCTCCACTTGACTCAGGATTCCTGCAACAAGGACGGGGTGGGGAGCAAATCACAAAGGGTGTGCGGGACCACCCTCCCTGCCGTGGCCTGAGGTCCTCACTACTGCTCTGCTTCCAGCTGGGGGCCCCACAGCGGAAGGAGGGGCAGGGCCTGCGAACACCCGCAGTCCGCCTGAGTCCCTGCAGAGGTCCCGTGTTGGAGGATCCCAGCAGCAATGCTCTGGGGGGTGGAAGGGCGGGCCATTTGCTGAGTGCCAGCCAGCTGGGCCCAGCCCTGTCCAGGGGGCTCAAACCCCAACTGCTAGCCTGTGCCAAGGCTAGATGTGAGGCTGGGACGCAAGGTCTCGTCCTCTCCAGGCCTCTTTATCCGGCCAGATAGGAGTTGAAAGCCAGGCTGGCTCTCGCTGTCCCTGCCAGAAGTGCCAGTCTGCCATCTGCTGACGGTGTCGGCTGGGCCTACGTCCCAGGCACTGGGCTGCGTGGCCCCCTCTTCCAAAGACAAGCCCCTGGGGGGATGGGTGAGTCAGGAAGAAGCCAGGGTGTTCACAAGAAGACACCAGCGCACCTCATGCTCACACTGGGCTTCCCGGGCCTTGGAGGTGAAGAACCCCCAGTGCCGGGCGGGGTGGGCGTAAGCACCTGGGAGAAGGCTCCCGTGGACTTGAACTGCCTTTAACATCACTTTATCTCAAATGTTCAGGAGGACGCACGTTCTGTGTCATGTTTGTTTTAATATAAAAAGTATAAAAAGTAGTGTTTTAGGTTACCTTCCGTTTAAATGTGTAACTCCCCCCCTCGAGTGTGCTGTATTTATCCCATGGCCTCATGGATTCCTGGCATCCCCCACATGCACCCCAGGCGTGCCTGTCCCCCGCTCCCCCAGAGGCTGGGACTTAGGGTTTCGACAGCAAAGCATAAAACAAAGTAAGCCAGCTGGGGTCGGGGAATCGGGATTGCTGTGTAGTGACCCATTGCTAAGGAGCGGCTGTAGTGAAAGGCGGGTGCTGGGGGTCTGGGGGGCACTTCTCGCCAGAGGCCTGAGTGTGCTTTGGTCTGGAGGGGACCCCCCGAGAACCCAGAGGTGCTAGTGTGGTAGACACGAGCAGCTGCCTTTTCTGGACAGTGGGAGCCAGGCAACGCCCGGCACTCCAAGGGCTGTCATTCCCTCCTCCCAGCAGCCTTCAAGATGCATGCTATGGCTAGGATGTTGTTCTTTCCATTTTACAGACCAGAAAACTGAGGCTTAAAGGGGTTATTTACCTGCTCAAGGCCACAGAGACAGCAGCCCGGGGTTCCTAACTTCTAGCTCCTTATGTTAACCTGGAGCTGCGGGGCCTCCCAGATGTGGCCTCCAGACTGAGGCCCGCCCTGGGCCTGGGCCCTGCCCAAGAGCAGCCACAGCATCCTGGGAAGAGCCGCTGTGCTCGGCAGGCATCAAAGCCCCCTGTGTTTTCTGGGCCAAGGAACCTTGGCTACAGAGCTCACCGCTGAGCTCCTCCCTGCTCCTGGTGACCCAGATTACCCTTCGCAGGAGAGAGAGGCCACAGGCTGCGGAGCCCCCTGCCTGGGATGGTCAAGAGTCTTCGTGCCTGAGTATTTCCTTTCCGAAAGCTTCTTCTCTGCTCCTCCAACCCCCTTGCACTGCGGGCTCCGAGGGGATAAGAGGTCCCATGTGCTCCCCCTGAGCCGGGAGCCGTTCTATTACCCTCTGCAAGATGTATCCATTCATTCAACTGATATTTACCAAACAGTCCAAACTATACCTGTGCACCCCACATCTCTGAGCCTTGGTTTCTTCACCTGCAAGATGGAAAACTCCTACCGTAGAGTCTGCCTGCAGCCTGGGCACGTGCCTGGTGCTCAGTGACCCGTGCTTTGTTCCCCGTGTGGGCACACCTCTGCTCTCAGCGGGACTTCGGAGGTGTCTGGGCGGCGTCAAGGCTCACAGGAAGGTGGTGTCCTGTCCTGTTGGACTAGCCCTCGTCTCATCACCCTCTCTTCCTGCAGCCCCTGCCTGGTCATAGCTTGGCTACTGTGTGTGTGGAATGGGGAGCAGCGGGGAGACACCCTCACTTTCTACTTGGATGCAGAAGTCATAGATGGAGGGAGGACACAACGCAGTAGTGACCGGGGTGTGAGTGTCTCAGGTCCCTTTGTGCCCTGCAGCCCAGGGATCCCTCTTCCCTCTCTGCTCTGTCCCCATAACATGTCAGAGTGTGGCTGGCATCTCTCTTGATAGGGAACCAGGTTTGAGATATTTTCAGCATAGTGGTTCTTAGAGAGTGGCTGTGTGTGTGTGTGTGTGTGTGTGTGTGTGTGTGTGTGTGATAGAGGGGAGACAGCACTAGCCAGCTGACTGTGACATACTCAGGCCAGCAAAACTGGATCAGGGACTGTGGCCATTAGCAGGGACAGCAAAGTTGTGCTGCGTGTGATGGAAACAGCTTTCTCAGGGTCTGTCCTTCTCTGGGCCACATGCTGTGCATGTTCACGGGAACTGTTTGCAGACCGCTTACCTCACCCACTGCCCACCCGCCTCCAGCACACGGAGCCTGTTTTACGTGACATGTGTCTCGTTCTCTTCCTCTGGGCCACAGGTGAGCCCCTTGGGGCAGCACAGGCCCTGTGCCAAGAGACCACCTTTTCAGCTGGGAAACCCCGCCCCTGCCTGCGGCCACATCCTGCGAACCCATCCGCTTTGCTCCCTCTGTGGCTGCCAGAGGCTCTCTCTTGACCACATGAGGACAGAGAGGAAGGCAGGGACTCGGGTGGGATTTTCTGGCAAAGGCTAAGGAAGTCCTGGTCGGGAGAAGGAACGCTGATGCCATGGTGTGGCTGACCCTCTGCTCCCAGCTGTGCTGACCCCAGAGGCTGCCAGAGCACAGCCCCAGAACTTCTCCACACTGGCCAGCCAGGGGGGCCCAAGTGCAGCCCCCAGCTCCCCCACCTCCTATGTGGACACTTTGCAGAAGTCTGGCCTCCGGTGGGTCCAGCTCCCGGCCCTGCGGAGACTGCACTAGGTCCACCCAGGACGGCCCCCTCCCACCTTCCCCTCTGCGAGGACACAACCCGTGGCTCACCTGGGAAGTGCAGACCGCAGCGTGGGCCCCCAGCCCTGGCTCTATCACCAGGGACCTCTCAGCAGCCGGAACCTGAGTTTGGTGCAAATCAGCAGAGACGCTGTCTCTGTCCCTCACGCTTTGTGTCCAGTTCAGCAGCTGCAGAGAGAGCTCAGGAGGTGGGGCCAAGGAACACACTCAACCTTCCTGCCTGCATCCCAGAGAGCAGCCTGGGAAATACAGGGGGTGGCCCTCTGCCCGCCTCCCCTCCTGCAGGCCAGCCTCCTCCCTCCTTCCTCGGGAAGGTCGCTCAGTCCCCCTGCAGGTGGCCCTGCCCCTCCCGCTCACTTATTCCTTCTTCCAGCACCAGTCCCTCCTCTGTCTTGCCCTCGCAAGTCCACCGGCCACTTGTCATGTGTGCACTTCCCGGATAAGCATGTCTTTCTCTCCCTGGCCCCTTCTCCCACCTCCCCTACTCTGGTGTGCATGTTTTGCAGAGCTGTGGTTTGAGCAGAGGTGTTCCCAGAATTTTTTGAAGTAGTCGCTGGCTCAAAAATGCCCATGACCATTTAGCTGGGGGTTAGGGGTGCAAGGAGATCGTTTCTCTCCCTGGACATACAGGTGCCAGGCCTGTCTGGGACATTAAAATAGGAGGCAGGCATATAGTAACTGGGATGTCCCTGAGAGGCCAGAAGGTATGCTGGCTGACCGCAGGGTTCTGGGACTGGGTTTGAATCTTACCACTCACTAGCTGTGTGACCTTGGGTGAGGTACCTAACCTCTCTGTGCCTTGGCTCCTCACTTATAAAATGGGGATCATGATGGTATCCCTATCACGGGGGTCTTGAGAGGATTAATGAGATAATTCATATGAAGAGCTGAACACAGTGTCTGGAATACAATAGTGCCCGGGAGACTCAGCTGCCTTCGTTGTCATTATTGATGCTGTTTCTAGGGAACACATAGCCCACGGGGCTCTTTGACATCCCCACGGACTCCGTAGGCTGCAGCACTGACACCAACACTTTCTCTGAGCGTTAATTTTCAGAGTGTGATCCAGAGAAGCAGGTTTATTTTGTAGGTGTGGCGTCAGAGGGAGGAGGCAGACCGCAGGGAGATGCCTCTCGGGCTGAGTTGGAACGTTTGGAACAGGGTTCATACCCCGATGTCCCTGAACTGAAGTGTGGAATGCCATAGATGTGGGCTATGCACTGTGCAGGCAAGAGGATCCGTAGCTCTCACACGTTTCTCAAAAGGGGCCTGATCCAGAGGGGGTGAAGAATCACTGGTGCTGGGGATGTAGGAGAGAGAGAGTAGGTGCTTAAAATGTCTCCCATTGCAACGTATCACCCCACCTCCCAGCACTGGTGTTCAGAACGTCCCAAGTGGCCAGATCGTGCAGGCTTCGGCAGCAAGTGGCTGAGTTCCTCAGGAGGGGCCTGTGTGTGTGTGTGTGTGTGTGCACGCGCCCCTCCCCCCTCCCAGACTCAAGGCAACAGCCAACAGTGAGCATTCACTCAGCCAACACTATGCTAACACCCACATGCTATGTCTCCAGTAACCCTCCCCACGTTCCAACCGGGTGGCTGCCATCGACGTTATTCCTATTTAAACACTGGGGCTACTGAGGCAAAGGCAGCTCAGACCTTCCCCAGGTCTCAGCCACACGGTCACTGCGTTGTGGAGCTGCGATTCGATTCCAACCGGCGCTGCACTCGGGGTCACTAGACTGCAAGCTGCCCCAGCCTGTCCCTTCCGAGCCTGCACGCCTGGCATTTTCTGACTCTACCCTACTGCCCTGCCTCCCAAGGTGACGTGACCCGCGTCTGTGTGGTCCCTGCAGTGACTCCCCCGGAAGACTTCCTGTCCCCTCCGCCTAGCTGCCCAAGGAGACGACGGGTCCCGGGAA